ACAAACAGGTCGTGAGTTCGAGCCTCGGTTGTTGCACACTTCGGGGTTGGGTATGACTGGCTGACGACGGCTAATAAGCCAGAAATGGTCATCCCAGTCTCCCTTGTCTTTGTCGGTAATAGCATTATGGAGAAAAGTATGTTGGCATACACGATAGGCTTGCAGGTAGGGAATTGATCCAATAATGAATGGCGCGTTGAACTTCAGTAATCGCACCTAAATTTAGGTCGCATTGAAACACTTTGCAGCCGTGGGTAGAAGTTTTGGCCAATTCTTTGGCTAATGTGATGGCTGACTTCTTTGTTAGCGCATGTCCAATCCAAAGGACTGGGCTGAACTCGAATAAGCGAATCCATAGGCTAGTCATAGGGTGATTATTTGCTTAGCACAACCGGATAAAAAATGCTGCAAGTTTTCGTGACCCGGGTGAGGAGGTCACTTTTTTCGCATTGATCGCTTCATAGAAAGTATCGTATAAAAAATCTATTCCAAGTTATTTGTTTTTGGAGGGCAAGGAGGGCCCGGATCACATATAAATATCCTAACAGTTTCTATCTCTGAATGGACGAGAAAGGATGCTGACATTAAGTTAACATAATTAAGGTGGTTTTTTAAGCAAATCTTGGGTATGGTCAGTCTGCTTCCAAAGTAAGCTCATCTAATTATGCTGCTCTTTTATGTCACTGGATTTAGGCCTTGGAATGGTCAGTAGTACAGGAAATGAGAGCATGTTCAGGTTGAAAAATTCATTGTTAAGAAGTAATTAGCAGAATAATGTTGAATACTTCAAAAGCCGCGCGTTCTAGAGCAGCCGGGAACAAAGAGTGCCAAGTGCGCAGCCTGAAATCTTTGAAACTACAACGAATACTGCAGGGCAACGGATGACGTTCTTCATTTTCGACGATCTTTCCGCGCTCTTGCCAAAAAAGTGTTCCTTCACAATTGACCTCAGTTCGGAAACCGTCCACCTGTCCGCCTTCCAAGTCCGAAGGAATGTGTGAGTGGACAAGAATTTCGGCTGTTGAAGGAGTGCACACCCTCCCTTCGAATATAAATACGTCTGGATAAGAATAAACTAGAATTCCTGACTTTTTACAGACCGCCAACGCTCCCAAGTGCACCTATCGATTCGCTTATTCATTTGGCTGAAGAATTAGCTAGTCGACATGAGCCTCCTCTTGCTGGAGGTTTCAACTTACAGTAGACTCGGAAAATCTGTCACTTTATGGAGCGCCAACTTTTTTCAATTATAAGCAATGGGAGTAATCGCTCTATCCCTAATACCAGAAAAAAGGTTCAACAAACTATCCGGAAGGCAAGTGTTAACATTACGACGAACGCATTTATGTCCGTGAATTGGGACTGTTTACTCAGTGAGGAGCTAGAGGACGGCGCGAAATCGTTTGCGACGGTTCCGCAAGATCGGAGTCGGTGCTGCAGTCCAACAAAGGTCCAAAAACATCTTGTCGCTCCGCTTGGTTAACTATCACCTTATCGGTCAGCATGGAATAAAAAAGTGGAAGATAATCAGGCAAACTAATTAATTAGACCATCTTGAGGAATTTCGTCGCCACCGAAATGGAGTCAAAACTTCCATCCCTCAGACACGGAAGGACCCTGTGTCCAGAATTATCTAGCAGGCCAAACGTATGTCCGAAAGTTTATTCCACTTTATTCACGGTCGACTAAAAAACAAGGACATAGTTTCAGCACTTTAAATGATAAAGGTTTAGAATTGGTTATAAAGGGCATTGACCTCAGTATTCGCTATGAGAACTGAGTTTGGCAATAACCATGCCTACAGTGCTGGTGTAAACGCCGATTTGCACGCTTTTCGGTAGCTTTCGTGGAAAATGAGCCGCAGAATCTCGAGAAACCAAAGTCGCCGGTTCTGGACAGCATACCGACCAAATGATCTACAAAATTGGCGAACGAACACTGCAAGTCGCTAGTGAATGTCCTGCATTTATCATTTGAAATGGACACTGTTCGCCGTCATCTGGATGGAAGACGGCGAACATCTAATCTACATACAGTGGTGGGGATCATATTAATGTCAACACCTATCGGCCGTCAACCTAGCCTGCATTTGCTGTGAAATAATAGAAGCCGTACACAGAAGACGAAGATGCGATCAGTGAAACAAGAAATTTATTGGCCTGACGTTTCGGATTCTCAATCGAACCCATCATCAGAGACTATCGCAAACAAGGGGAATAATTAAACTCCTAGAGGAGAACAACTCACTCCCAGGATCCAGCACGCTGCCAGGGTGAGTCACTACTGATTTTCCATTTTACTGCTGTCGCTCAAGCAGGGGACTCGCGCGTTAGAAAAGGATCGTAGAGCCAGTGTCAGTTCAAAAAGGCGGTCGACAGCGTGCCACACAAACGCCTAATCTACAGACTACCTGAAGTTGAAATAAGGAAAAGCTACTGAAATGGATCGCAGATTTTCCTACAGAAAGATCGCAAACCGCGTGCATTGATGCCTCGAAGTCTGTACTTACATCATTCCGAGTGGCGTCCCCCAAAGCTCCGTCTTAGTGCCGTTGCTTTTCCTTGTCCACACAAAGGACTGTTCGAACATCCTGAGTTGCAGGGTCGTCCTCCTTGCTGACGACGTCAGACTGTGGAGAGCCATCAGATGTGTACGAACTTCAAACGAGTCTTAACCGACTTATCAGTTGGTAAGCTCGCTGGCTCTTGAACTGTAACATTGTTAAATGTGTGGTCCTAAGGCTCTCTTCCAGAAAGATCAGTGAGGAGGATGATAATCTCCGATACATTCTTGATGTGTAGTCTCTTTTAAATGTCGAGGAACAGAAAGGGTTCGGCGTCCTAATAGCATCCCCCACTCCCAGCTAACTCATCATTTTAGGGTCTAAAAGCAGCCAAACGCTCGACACATGCATCATTTGCGCAAACACGTGGATTTTTGCAGATTGATGAGTAATTATCCGGAAAACATTACGAGACATTCATTTAGTCTCACTTATGTTATGTCGTCCATTATTAAGGAAAAATCATCAACAACTTGGATGAGTGCAAGGGGGGGCTTCGAAGATGGTCAGAAATCTTGGTCATCTACCTTAATAAGCCAGACTGTCTGAATTTGATTTTTTCCTCACTATCACAGGCAATTGCGTGGTGACCTCATTCACACCTACCGGATTGTCAAACACTGCAGATGAGTTTTGGGAGTTCTTCGAATTGACTAGGACGGACTGACTGCTTTGTCATCCTTTTAAACTGTGGAGGATGATTGTCCGTACGGATTTACAGACCGAACGCCTTCTTGCAAAATGTCGTTGGGGCGTGGGACGGACACCCTGACCAGGTGGGCCTAGCAAAAACTGTCAAAACGTTTAAATGAAAGCCAGATACTGTATGCTAAGAAACTAATGTGGGGTCCTGTGCCTAGTTCACACATACCGCTGACGTCAAAATTTCCAGAATTATATTCGTAAAAATCGATTCTGTTGGTGTAATCGAAGAATGAGTAGGGCGCTCAAGGGCAAAACACTTATTTCCTTAATAAAGTGACTTAAAATAGCGTGATACCCTTCAAAAACGTTTGATTTTAAGCCTCGCAAACTCTATATTGAACAAGTATTTTTGCTCTGTTTTAATAAGAACGCGCAACACAGTTCTCAAGATGACGATGTTTCCTGTGATTTCATCTTTTTTCGGAGACAGTCTCATTAACCTATAGGTCACACATTCAAATTATGCAAACTTTGAGTTAGGTTAGGGCTTAGAAAGTCATAATGCCCACGAAATATTACCAAAGACCATGGTCAGAACGCGAACGAGTTGTATCTAAAGAAGTGACACAAGTTCGCCTGAGAGTCGGTTCATTAAATAAAATTATGAAATCATAGGTGCCAAAATGCATTTCAGAAGTAAAATTATCTCTATTTTCTATGATGTATCATATCGCTAGGGAATATAAAATAGCTGTCCCCTAGGTCTGACGCAAATACGGTCAAAAATTATGACATTATGTCCGTATACATGAGTCTTTGTGTCAGATTCCGATTATTTTTTTGCATATATGCGGTTTACATTTATCCTGTCTGTTATCAACAGACTACATCAGTTGTCCCCTTGCTATATAATATTCGTCCTCTTTTGGGCACATAAACCTGTTATGTAGTGGGTAAAAAAATTCATTTTTGTACGCGTAGCATTATTTAAGCACTTGAAACTACAAGTACCATTTAAACTCCAAGACACGTTTCTCGCCAATATATTGCTGCGAGGGGTTCGGTTAATCAGTGGGTCTCCAAGGGGCGCCCATGCACTCTTCTGATATTCCATGAATATTAGGCAGTTATTCAGCTGTGGGTGATGGGTATCACGCAAATATTCATATCAAATCTCTGTGTCAGCCTGTAAGTCTTAAATAGATGGATCTACTTCCAGTTAGCGATTAATTTCAGAGGAAATCAAAAAGACACAATCCCGTTTTTATGCAGCAGACACTCACAGTTTCTGTTATATAACCATCTTGAGCATCCTGTTGGTAGGTTTGAGTTTTCGTACTCCTCATAGATCTGGCCTAAGGTCGTCATACACTTATAACAGTGCTGAGAATTACAGAGAATTTCAAAGCTTAAACATCCCCTAGACATTGTGCGTAGATTATTTGCCCAACATCCTTAAATGCCCCTCCATAGTTTTAACCGTACAGATATTCCCAAAAAGACTGATAATTGCACAGAACTTCCACCCTTAATCACCAGTGACATTTGCGTGTTTGCGATCTTTAGCGCTCAAAGTAAGTCCACTGGACATTCGGGTATTTAACTCGGGTTTAAAACAACTGCCGATTCTTTGAAGAAAATGCAGAAAGCCATTTAGGAATCCAGGACAACTCGAAATGTTACCTAGCACTTACTCAGTGCTGAGACATACGACAACACAATTTTTGCGGACTTTAAATTCGCTAGAAGTAGTTGGGGTGGCTTGAAATTCCGTCTTGCGGGCTGCTGAATAATGGTATGCCTGCTTATATCAATTTTCATGTCTTTAGAGTATCCTTACATATAATGGGTCCGCGGTCATTGGGATGAAGGGAAAGGACTGCGTTGCCATTGCAACAGACTTGCGGTTCGGCATTCAATATCAGACAATTTCAACTGAATTCTCGAAGGTGGAGCAGCTCGGACCTCGTTTGTTTGTCGGCTTTCCAGGCCTGGCGACGGACAAAGAGACTGTGTATGTTGTCTTACCTGTTTATATTGACTGCAGCTAAATATTTTTGTAAGATTTCAAGGTTTCGTGAAGATTGGTCGATCAAATTGATTTTGTAGATTGCATCGTTCTTAACTCCCGCCCATTCTTTGATTTGTGCTAGCGTTACATAGTAGATTTGAAACCGTTTGAAAATTACATACCCATCTTTGACCCCTAATCATCTTTGATTTTGTTCGTCTAAGACCTACGTGTAGGGAAGCGTTTCGATACCTTCAATTTTGCAACCCCGAAACCTCCATGAGTCTCGTCAGATGTAGTAAAAATGTGATTCACAGGTGGGGTGGCCGTAGAGGGAGAGGCTGTCGCGGGGTGGATTGTCCTCCTTTTTCATATTTAGTTCTGACTGCGGCCGCCTCACACCTCACATACTACCGGAATTGGTGCCGCCGCCCTCCCTTTTGATTTCACCACGAGTACACAAGAAACGAAAGTAAGGAAAGCCAAGTTTGGACAGTAGAGGGAGTTTTTGATGTCGCACGAGTTATTTGCATGATTGTTGCTTTTGCTGTTTTCACGGTCATAGCTCTTTTCGTCCGGTGAGAGAAGTGAAAGACAGCTACACATTAGTTGCCGGTTAACGCTGTTTACAATTTCTCTTTAAGACAGTTCATTTTTACTTTACTAGTCATCTGCTGACGGAAATAAGTCAAAACCGACCAGTAAATTTGTTGAGATGTAGACGCATGATATTTTCTCGCGTATGACCAGCTAAGCACCAAGGGTCATGTCAGTGAGAATTTGATGTTTATTCCTTTCGCCGAAAGAACCGGCTCTCGACAGCCTGCATAAGTACATATTTAAGGAGGCTCTGAAATGTTTCCACCTCAAACCACAACATTGGTAATTACTAATCGACTATTTCGTTTCTTAATTCGAGCCAGTTAAGTGGATGTGCCAGAGTTTGCGTGCATATTTTCAAGAATTCTGCTTCCCATATCAAAAAATGCAGATTTTTCCACAAACGTTACGTCATTTGCTCCTTCTGTGTTTTATATATTAGTGAGTAAGTGACGGATTTTATGAAACTGTGAGGTTTTTAATGTCTGACAATGGACATATATTTTGGAAACGACTTTTTTCTATTATAGCTTCCAGCGTCTCCAGTTCCGGAAAAACATGTACGAATTGCGCGAAAATCGTAATGTCAAGCCGAAAACACTTCAGTGCATGCTGTCAAATCTTCTTTATGAGAGAAGGTAACACCCGGTGCAAGTTTACTTCTTCAGATTTGGCCCCTATTTTGTAGAGCCCATTGTAGTTGGGCTGGACCCGATTACAGAAGAACCTTTTGTTGGTGGCATGGATTTAATTGGTAGTGGGCTTGAAACTGATGAATTTGTTGTTGCTGGATCATGTCCCGAGCAGTTGTACGGCATGTGCGAAACTCTGTGGGAGAAAGACCTTGTAAGTGTCCGTGTCCGATATTCTCTTCTAGGCACTCCATAACCTTTTCTGTTCCTTTCCCGTTTTGGTTGCATGCTTCTGCTATTGCTTTTAGTGCACCCAGTAAAAAGCCGTATGCGCACAGATTCACAGACTTAAGAGGCCATGGTACATTTATTTCTTTGTCTTATTTGCCGTTAAATTTCAGACCTTATAAATACAGTTGTCCGATAAAGATCCCGAGCTGTCATTTGTCATCCATCCTTGTGCGAAAGCATTTAAGGTGGTCGAGGTAGTGGATTGCAGAGTGGTGCGAAGGTTCTTAATTAGTTTCAGCACAAACGCGTGTTAAATGGTAGCGAGAGATTTGATGAGTCGATTTCCCCAAAAGAAAAGGCCATTTCGCGCAGTCTCGGCCCGCTGTCTGATCTCCACATGAGGTAGTGCTTTTGCGGCTTACGCCATTAAGGCATGCGATAGATGTGACCAAGGCAGCGCAGATCACGAAATATGGTGATATGGTTCACTGACTGCCCCCGGTCTGACATACGTGGCGAAGAAGTTATTCTTTCTCGATATCTTGATCAAAACGAGCAGTCACTGCATCTTTGCTTTTTAGTCGTTTGGCTTCTTATCCATCCCAAGTAATTGTAAGACTCAGACGTCGCTGAAAGAGTACTCGTGACCATCAATTTGGCTCCATATAGATGCGATCGACGGCTGGGCTGCCTGCGTGATAGTACCAACGGTACGATAAAACTTGAGTGATATGCCGTTCGAGGAATGCGGATTTTCATAATTATTGACTGTTAAAGCATCGTTTCATATGTACGCTACTAGTTTTGTGGACATATTTAATATCCTACGGTAAGCCGTCTCCTCCAATTACCACAAGAAAACGGGCATCAGCACTCCAGTTTTGACTTTGATAAGGGGTCTTATTAAGCAACATATTCATTGCATATTCTTTGAGAACTTCATACTCTCTCATGGGATGAGTGCTGGAGATGGTTAATTCTGGCTTTGATTTCAAAAGTAGTTATTTTTCTTTCGCATTTTAGAAGTCTGATGAGCTGTTTGAATGTATCTCACAGTGCATGTTGAACGCCTTAAACCGGGATTGCATCGCTGGATGGGGTACACGAGTCTACCTTATGTAAGTTGTTTTCCTTTTTTTCTGATTCTTTTTTTCCCTAGAGAAAAAGATCAGGTCACCATATCCGATATAAAAAGCCGCATGGACTAAAGTTTTCAAAATAAAAACTGAAAAAGCAGACTGTTTTTTTTACACGTTTCTGGATTTCCCCAGGCTCCTTTGTACCAGTCGTCAGCGTCGGAAGTATGCGGCTTCATTAGAGCTGCCGCCGTCGATGGTGTGGGTCGTGTAGACTGTCCCTGGGGGGGGATAATGCTGACGACCCGCGCAGTCGAGGGATCCATCGCGGTGGTCTGGGTTGTATCCCGCAGTTCCTTCCAATGAGTTTTGGAATTGGCATGGACCTCTCAGATTTACATTTCCTCCAGTCTGGAGTTCATACAGCAAACCTTCAAGTAATGCCATAAAAACCGACCGCCTTCAATTGCTGATAACAGGAGACATGTCCTGGAACGCGTCGAGGGGCTATTTGGTCTACACAGTCACGCCAGCACAAAACCGTGGACACCTTGGATGAGGCCCGTCGTTTGCACCATTAGGAAACTCCCAAATGCAAGGGTACCAAGACTTCACGATGCATGTCGACTTCGTTCGGTAGTAGTGAACACGAAGGCCAATGTAGGTAGACAGGAAGGTGTCGAGCTCATGCTGACTATTAGCGGCTTACGGTGGCAGAGTATGTAAGACCCTACCCATTGTTCCACTGTTTAATGTCACGCACGTCATTGGCACTCTTTTAGGTTGTTCTTTCGACAACCTAGATAACCAGACACATGGCATTCTTCGACGTTAACTGTTAACATTCAGCTAGTTTGCGCGTATGACCATCACCCGTCGCATTTGGCTGTCGCACTGACTCGATTACCTCCTTTCCATCAGCTCGCTTTTGGCCTGGTGATTGACAGCCATCAAGACTGTCTCGATGGCACTTCTAAACGTGGACATATCAATGAGGTCCGTCGACAAATATTACTTTGCTCGCATGGTGACAAATATCTTCTTTGAAGTGACCATAGCGATAGATCAGACTGCCCCCTACAAGAGTTGTGAGGGGTAGCCAACCTTAAAGTCACAGGGCTGATTTTTTCCTCGAAGCCTGATAACTGTTCTGGTAAGATGCCCGACAGAAGAGGATCGGCTGAAGTTGGACGCCATATTGAAAAAAACATTTAGGCAGTGGAGGAGTGTTGACTCTCCAAAACTTGATCTTTTTTCATTCTACAGAGACCTTCAGTCAGGCTTTCTACGGATATATAAACCTCTCTTGTTTAGCTGGACAGGCCTCAGTGAGAAGAGGCGGAGACAGGAGTGTGCTCTGAACGTGGTACCTGATCGGTAAAAGCCGTTAAAACGTTCACTGACTGGGCACGCCTACGGCTAAGTACAGAATACGTGCGGAGGGGCCTTTGTGAAAGACTAAGGTACGTTTGAATGACCTGTGCCAGATTTCAGTGCGCCTGGCGCCAGAGAAATGTGGAATTGCGTCTGTGATGTGTCCGACCGTTATTGGTGCATGAATTCACAACTCGAGGCCAGAGGCTCGAAGAGGGGCAAAATATTAATTGCCGACCAGTTTTATCGTCATCACAGAGCACAGCATGTGGTCGCTTAGGTCTGCGCCATCGTTGAACATGATTTCAGAGGCTTAAGCAGAACACTAGCGCAAAAAATCGCCACGGCAACTTACACAACTACGGAGGTAAAGCACCCCGATCTGCTCCGCTTACCTCGTATAGGGAGCATTCAGCTGGCAGTAACAATAGACAGAATGCTATTACCGATAAAGACATTCTGCCTATATCATGCTGCTGGTTGGGCCCGAGAGAGAGCCCGTAAGGCATAACGGAAAGAGTGCGTTCCGTAAGAACGATCGGTGAGCGCCTCTACCATAATAACAGTAGATTCAACCCCTTACCTCACTGTTCAGAGAAGATTCGATTCTCGTCTTCGTAACACCGATGCAGGCACCACTCAACATACCACTTGTTAGGAACGCTTTCGAACACGAAGACCTCATGCTTTTTATGGGTGGGTCGTTCCACCAGTACAACCCAGTATGACGCCCTGGGTTTGAGTCTGTCGAGTTAATAGAATTGACAAAGGGTTGGCGCGCTCAAAAGACGGCTCAACACGATGCGTCAAGATATCGGAGCGACCTCTGGACCCTCGGCGTCTGCTCTCTACTTCTGGATCGAGGTCATAAGATGCACAGCCCCAGATCGCCGATCAGATCAGGTATGACCACAGTCACATCACTTGGTAATGATGGACTTATAGCCGATGCGGCCCTGCTGCCACCGAAATGTACTTTAATGTGCACGGGTGCATATCACAGAAAACTACTGAGTATCCATTTATGGAGGACCACTGTCCCGCAGACTAACAATTGGGTATATCGCGTCCCTAAGCCTAATACCGAAGGTGAATACATTTGTACGGTGTAAATCCTTACTCAAAGGACGGTTGTTACGCACGGCTTCCTAGATATGACCCGTGGTCGTCTTGGTAAAGGACAGCTAACTGTCCGTCCCAGAGTCCAGGGCCCTTACAAGTGGGTTGAAATACGCCTTTCTAGACATCTCCGTCGTGCAAAACATGTTCAAGATTAGAGTTACCTAGACGTTCGTAAGCCTACGTAAAAACTTCCGACTAAGTGGTATGTACGGTTGTGTATGGACCACGCAACGGCATGGCATCATTTGAATTAAGCGATGAGTGGCAACTCATGAGGAGAAACGTGGATATGAACACCGGTTTGAGCGCCACACTGAACAGGAACAGCAAGTTATGATGGGTAACATGTTCACTCCCGGAAAAAAAGTAAACATTAACAGGAAATACAAGAAAAATAAAGTAGTGCCGCAGGACGCGACTAAGAAACAATTCACAAGGGCAGCCAAAGGGACGAGTGGGAAGAGAAAGACAATGGAGTGCTGGAAAACCTGACTTTCGACCATGAAAGAAGCGGACCGATGCTCAGGTGGTGACTGTAGCCTGAGTTACGAGGAGCTTCCACTCTTCTAAGAGCTGTTTGGCCTTGTCTTCTGCTCCGTCCACATTGATAACGCCGACTGCGCTCACTGGACTAGACTTGTGACACAGACGTTTTAAGTAGTGCCTCTTGAAGGCCAAAATTATTGGACACTCCCGCTGATTAGCCAGGTGAACAATCTCCTGAACGACCTTGGCGAGAGCGTTTGTCCGACTAGGGATTGCGTCGTCGCTAACGGCATTGTCGACTTTTGGATCTTCTAGGGTCGGCCGGTCATCTAAAATGGGCGTCAAAGTAATCATTGATTGCATGCGGACCGCCATGATAGCACAGTAATGATTTTAAGGCAGAAGCATGAGTGTCAAGGAAAAAACGTATAGAATTTTCAAGATCTGCATACCTATTTCATAAGCGCCCTTTTCGAGGTCCGTGGCAATCACTACAAGTCTCATACGGTTCAGTTTGAGGTGTTTTATCACCTCACGGAAACCGCAGACGATTCTCCGTGCTTTCTTCTTCTTTGATGCGTTTGATTCATTGCTCTTGTAGGCCCGATCGTGGAAGTCGGCCAATGACGTTATGATCTGTTGTATGAGGGTTTCCAATTCAGGAAAACGGGGCGGAGCAACATTCTAGGGCGTAATGGCAAGAGAACCCAGTGGATCTATAAGTACTGGTGATCCTTGCCTATATTATTAACAGCGTTAACAACAACAGTAAGTAGCAACGACGATCAACATTATATAGACGAAAACTCGAAATCAAAGAGCCAATTTAACAACCGTTTACGATTTTGTTGGACAAGGGCAAATATATTCCCGTAAAAAGCGATGCATTTTTTAAATGAGCTGCTCTAGTAGTTACTATTTCTGACCTGTTCGTAATTTTGCGAGGCGGCACTAAGATAACTCTGTATTCTTAGGGATAAGCCATGTATCAAAGGTCTGGACAAAACCTTGGGCAGTAATAAGCGCCGTAGAAGTCTGACCTATGACATCAAAATTCCAGCTATCAGCCAATAACTGTGAAACGAATTCGCCCCTTAATCCGAAGCATTATGAAGGCCTTCCATTGAATACTATCAATAAACAGACTAAAAGGCATCTAAATGTAGAGAATCCGTATCAGACATGCCACTTGACAGAGCGCACCGGTCTCACTGCACAATGCTTACGCTGCTTAGGGGGCGTTTTTGACGTTAAAGACTGCAATGTCCTCATATGGAGGCAAGATCGTAGGGCGTAAAGGCAGTACAAACTGAAAGGCACATCCCACTCAAATAAAAAAGATGTAATCGGTTTTAAGACCTCTACCGGATCAATAGTGGAGCATAAGGAAGAAATATGGTCGATATTGGTGGAATAGGTAGTTTGACTGACCCACTCGGTATGAGTTTAAGGGAGGAGAAACTTACACGAGTGGCTGCCACTGACAAAGGGTTGGGCGATTTTGCCAATTCTGCGTATAGAACGTCTGTTGTAGGTGCGTTGCTAGAGTCCGTTGTCTGAGAAGTGGGTCTGTCAGGGGTTTCGATGCGACAGGGTTGGTTATCGAGTGGCCTCAAGCTGCCCTCCTTTTCACTTACGGTAGGGAATTCCTCGGAAACTTCTAAACGCTTATAGGGCAGCGAAGCAGTTTTGACGACTGCATGTCGTCTGGCAAACCGATCATTCAAGACACCACGTTTTAATTTCGTCAGTCGTTTGGGTTTGGGATTCTCACGCTCCTTCCGACGGCGTGTGGGCGCACTCTCGACAGACACCGCCAGAGCCTGTCTGAAACGAGACGTCAGACGCTTCAAGTGTTCGTCAGAAAGCCTTTTATTTGACCGTTGAGACGACTTCTTGGCCTTTTTCTGACGCTTTTGTGGCGCTCGAGAGCCGGGCGGGCCAGGCAGTGACTGTCCCCTTTTGGCAATTATGACGGCAGGCGCGGCAGAAGAGTTGTTGGGGGTCGGTAACGGTTTGGGTACAGCTTTTACAGCCAAGCTCGCGGCTGCTGCAATGGCTGCATAGCTGAAGTTCTGAGAGGAGAGGTTTTGCGTGGACGATGACGCGACCGTCTTTGGGGGCTCCACCATAAGACGCGCTTTGAGATCTGAAGCCAACTTCTCCAATGATCGGTCGGCTTCAGTCAGTGGTTTCGAGGAACAGGAGAGTTTGCCTGAGATCGCATGTGCCGAGGAAGATTTATGCGTATCCCTGAGTGTATCATGCGAGTCGTGTCCCCCCGCAGTCGGACATAACTTTATGAGAGAGCGATCGAATTTTTTGTAAAACAATTCTTCAGGATCATCCGGCTGTTTGCGTGGGCGAACCTCTGTCTTGCTATTTTTGGTAGGACGGGCTGAAAACCAGTCTTTTTTCTCGTCTTTGTTCTCTAGGGCCGTGCTAGTTGGAAGGTATCCAAGCGGAGTACCGATGTCTACGTCTTCCTTCATCCGGTCCCAAAAGGAACAGTCTGTAGATGAAACATTTTTTGTAGTTTTTTGAGATTCGATGGCAAAAGCCGTCCGGTCGACAGACTCACGCAAAGGTTTTAAACTCTCTGGAAGGTTGACCCGACCATTAGTTGCACATGGTTGGTCACTTACAGTTTGTGATCTTGGTGGTAGGGGGCGATTTTCAGGTCTTTCGGAGTATTGGGACTGTCGGACTGCTGTCGGAGCCGGTTTGCTCGCGGAGTGTTGTCGGGGAGAAGACTGCCAGCCGCGTGGGCCAGCGCTGGGCCCAGCCTTGAGCAAGCAATGGGTTGGAGTGTTGTCGTGTCGTCCGAAGTTTTTTTGGGCGGCTACTAGACTCAACTGTTGCGTGGTCTTAGGGTGATTTCGACCTGAACCTTGAGCATCATATAAGTTTGGGTGGACGCGGGGAGCACCGAGAAGGGCGTCACGGGAGGCAGCACCGACAGCTACTTCGCTTATGAGGGCCGGTGTTTCAGGACAGACCGGGTGCGAGGTTGATGGCTTTCCGTTGTTTAGAGTCATGCAAAATTGCGGTGGCTGAGAATGAACTAATTGCGGCTGGATTTGTAGGTGTGAGGTCGATCGGTCGCCTCCGGAGAAGGAGACGAAAGGCTGACCATATTGAAGGAAATACTGGTTTTGAGGTATAGGAAGGACCGGATAGAAGCACCCCGCATCACCAATAAGAAATGGCGGTCTGGAAGGCACAGCGTACATGCTGGAGTCAGTATAATTAGGTAGGAACATGACCGATGGCGGGACTTTGGACATCTGGGTGAGAGAGAGAGAGAGAGAGAGAGAGAGAGCGAAGTGTGGAGACTGAGGGATTCACCCGTCGAATGTGGTGCCTGAAAACAAAAGATATGCGGGATTAAACAATTAAAAAATACCGGAATTAAAAGACAGTGGCAATCCAAAAATGCACCTAGTCGAAGCGGGCGGCCAGAGGGAAGAAGTAAACGCTTGATGTGGAAGGTGAAAATGGTTCTATATGAACATTCCCTTGACATAATTTAGTATTTTGTTTATGCATTATAATGGTTAATGGACAAATTATTCAACACTTTCCGAAATATGAATAAAATCAGGTGGAGTAAATCACGCAGGCAGATTGTGTAGCAAGAATTAAGTGTGCATTGTACTAAAATGACTTATTTAGAAAAACCGGATATAAAAGTGTAAACGCCATACGAAACATACATTACTATTACTTTATTGTCTCTGATAGCGCTGCGATCAACCAGAAAGCGTATAACAAGAGCATAAGCGAAACAACTTTAGTGCTTACATATCGGCACGGGAAGCATATCGAAATATCAGCTTAGCTTGTCCGCTTACACCATGGTTGCCCACCTCGTTCATTATTCTAATTCAGGTCGTCTCCTGGTCGCCTCTACAAACCCCGTCCGACAGTCACCTACTCCCGACTTACTTGAAGTCTACAGCGACTGGCATTTAAAGAGCAAGCTTTACTTATGGCCCTTGCCATCGGAGTATACAACGGCTCAATTCCACAGTTAGTTAATTAACCGTCGCTTGGCTCGCCTCCACGAAACATCACTACACTTGCCGGTTATGGAGGGTTCTACATCGAACGGTTCGGCTGGAAACGACACTTAGTCGTGCACCGAAACTAGCCACACCGCTGACCTCAGAAGTAGGGAGGACGCTGGCTGCTGTTTGCAGTCAACTTGCATTTCGGCCTATAAGGCTTGTACGAGCACGGGAATCGCGGTGAAAGCTCGCCTCAGCTTGACCAGTCACCTGTAGTCGGAAGAGGTGATCCTTTATCTTCCTAACAGTCCATCGGCATCGAAAACTCTCCGTGCGTATGAGTCTATGTAAACCTTCGTAGATGCTTATTGAGCCACTTCATCACCGGCAGCCGCAATAGGAGCATCGAACGGCCACCTTTTCCGAACGCATTTTCGTGGCTTTGTTGACATCGAGGAAACCCAACGGGTTACTATTCACGGCCGGCATCGACAAACGTGCGATCCCTTCGAGTTCGATTGTTATCAGAGGTCATCGCCAATAGCATGGAATGCCGATTCTAAGTTAAGGTCTCGTAATTCATTCGCTGTAACAAATATTTGTCCTCACTCTCAATAGCATCTATCACTGTCAACCCTTCAAAATTATAAACAAGAACAAACAGTTATGTACAAAATAGTCAATTGTATGAGTTCTTAGTGCAGGCAATGGATCACATTAATGGGGAACATGAAGGACACGCTACCAACAGGGAAATTGCCAGAACCAACCTGCAGTAGTTAGTAGTTCTATTAATCCTCCTCCGCACACTATCGGGGGTAATATTTTTTAGGTAGAATAGCTTTGAACATGTATTTGTGACATCTGCGAGGCCGTTTGCCGGCTTACACAATTAGGCTTTAGCATTTGGTAGACTTAATTTACTCCGGACGGTACTCTTTCAGCCCAGTAAAACTAGCTGACTTCACTTTGAGTTGTGAACGGTTTTCCGAAAGCACCGCTTAAAGGACCTTCGACGAAGTTTGCATTTTCCCACAAAAACTGAGTGACAGCATGAAACGGGAGGTTGTGAAAAGATGAAGAAGATACATTATATAAAATCATATTGGGTTCGCAAGTCACGTAACACAAACCATGGGAAAACGCACAATCTTCACCTTTCGAGATACTTTTGGAATAGAAAACCGCCATGGGCATTTTAAGAGCCTTCACAGGTGCAGATGTCGCGATATCTTCGACTAGGAATTTGATCGGCGAATCTCCATACCTTCGGAGCTTTAATAGACTTCAAAGGGACTAATTTAACAAGGCCACACAGCCTTCAATTCACAGAATGAGAGGCCTACAGTTGGTTTCTACCTGTGCGCATGTAACGCGGTATAAAGGGCTTTAACTATTAAGCAATTCAGTGACCGTCTGAACATTATAATCTTTAACTATCAAAAGTGTTCAGGCTTCCATGGCTTAGCCTCGCTCCGGACCCTCGAGAAAGACGATTGCAAAAATCTACATACCTGACGACGGAACTCAGTAATTCTAAGGGACAATTGATCAACAGCCTTCTGAGAAGTCGTGTCATATAGTTCTTATTAGGAAGGCTGCCATTCAGCTAATTAAAAAATTGTGTGCCAAAAGTATGGGTTGTGAGCTTTGAGTGCTAGTCCGTATCAACTGTAATATGAGTTTTTCTGTCTTCGTCCACGATGAAGTTGGTTCTCCTTTAGAAGCTCGAAACTGCGTCCTATTCGTACAACTGGCCCTACTTTTTCGAACCATTTCTCCTCTTTTCACCTATGTTGATTCGCTTTGTATAATCTTTTGAAGCAAGAGCATTATGTAGCTTACCAATATTTAAAAAGCAGCATATATTCCAATTCTGGCCATATAAAATATTTGCTGACCTTAGTCCCAAAAAGAATTCTTTTCCGGGCTTGGGGTGTATCTACCAATGACTGCCCGGAATTTAAAATTTACTGCACTCGCCATACCTCTTCTACTAATTTTGTTATTAACTCTCACGTCCTTAAGTTAATGAATTCTTCAGCCTAAATATAAGCTCGCGTATACGTTTTTGAGCACAATTTTTGACTTCAACTGACGTTCTCGTTGGGGATTTCCCGAAAGACCCGTTTAGATCTGCTAACATGAATCTTCTGGAGTCTTCGCAGTCGAATGGCAGCGCAACAGCCTCAGTAGAAAATCATTACTGAATGAAATTATCACTTTCACCCCCAACATTATTGTAATCTTTACTTTGATTCATGTGCCTCATTTCCTACTTCCACTTTTATCGATAATATGAGCTTCGTCTGCCTGTTTAGGAACTGAAAGCATCCACTGTTAAAGAAAAAGTTGTATAAGCCTTTTCTTCTGGACTAAACTAGGAACACCACATAAGCTGAATGTCCAAGTTCCATCTTCTTAGAGGCAGTTACAATCCAGACCCCTACCGTGTCATGCTTACTCAAACCCACTGCAATATAAGCAGGCTTATATGGGGGTGGCGGGCTGAAAATTGTATGATTGTGCATGCACGGTCAATGTTTATGCCCCGATCTGAAGTTAAACATCCGCACTTAGGCTATGGAATGGATTTACCTAAATGAAAATTTTTATAACAGTGACTTTTCATCTTTCTTCTGACTTTCGCGTCATAAGCCATACTGATCATAGTGACACGAATCCCTTAGTCAAAAGCTGTATCAGGTAGGTTAAGTTTCTTCCGCTCTGCGTCTGAATTGATTGTTTCCAAATTTTTATTATTTGACAGCTCTTTATGCTTATAGTTGAAACGCGTCTAATGGGCACATTTAAAGGAAGTGCAAAAGAGGGTAAGACGAAGTTAAACTCTTAGAACGTGATAATCATTGTTGGGGCACATGGTTCTGATATATCTTGTAAAAAGACATTAAGGAACGGTATCCTTAGAACCCTCAGTGAGTTCGTAGGGCGATAAATGAGTTTACACAAAGATATATTTAATATTACACTTTTCCGCTTAGCTAATTTACCTGTTTGTCTTTTCTAGCGAAGCGTAAATCGTGAAAAATTGAATCCTAAGAAAAAGAGTTGCTGAAACATCAGCGATTAGTAAGAATTAAATGGAATATTTGCTTGGCTACCGTTCATCTGAAAAGTGAATTTGAACCGTGGTCTGCACCACACGCATTCGTCAACCAGAAGGGCTTATCCAATATTGGTAAAAACTACGACTCAAAGGATGAGGAAAAAGAGACATAGGGAGGGACGTGGCAATTAAATTACACACCTAAGTGCCCGGCGAGGTAACAGTTGAGATGAGAATAATGATGCGTCCTCGAGATGCCCAAATTGCTGGTCGATGTATGTACCATAGGCAAACGGAATCACTCTTCTGTCAACCGCCGCGCTCACTTTGGGCTTTAGATATCTGACCGGCACGGGCAGTAGACTGCTGTCTGCGAGTGGGCACAGAAAATGGTATCGACGGTTTCAGCTCATATTCCCTGCTACGAACAACGTGACGAGCTCGAATCTATCATAGTGCATGGCCTGGAATGCTGCCAGATGACGGGATAAGTTGGACCTCGCAGTCAGTCCATTGTGTGTGTGTGTGGAGTGGTCGACTGGTGAGCCGAGAGTCAGCCTGCAGTAGCTCCGTCTTAATGTGGCCTTTATGACACTCCCAATCCGTGGGGTCCAAGTCTCCCGCTTTTCCTCCTTGGCACGCAATGCCTGTCAGTGCACGCTGTGGTCCAGGGGATGTGGTGGTACGTCTATGTGGAGGTTTACGCCCTACCAGTAACCTGCGCCAACTCCCGCCCCCGGTTTTCTTGACCCTCCCATGGTACCGGGTCCAGGTGGGAAGAAGAGAATACGGTAGATTCATTGCAAGCCTACTATGACTTCGCGCGCAAATCACCTTCCCTGGTCTCACCCTTTTTAAAGTACACGGTGGACATCGTCAGTCACGACGGTCACGCTGTATTTTATGTTTGACTTTGGGTTTTGTACTGAAGGAAATGAAGGCAGAACCTACTTGAGATAGTTGGAATTAACAAAGGCACCTTGCCTCGCATGATATTTTGTTGCTCGAATAGGTTTGCCGAAATTATAGGCGGGGTTAAGCCCGATTAGTTTTTGCGCAGCGCCTGAGAAGCGTGCTGATGGAATGCCACTGTTCTTATTTAAATTTATAATAGCAGTGTACCTGCGATGGATTACGGTAATAACCAGACTTGTAACCGAATGCCGCCACCTGAACAACACAAACGCCGTCCTCTGCCAACACCTGGCCA